ATAATAAAAAACTGCCCTCAATGGGAAATTGAGTGGAAGAAAGAAAGAGTTGAACGAAGGAACAGGAAGAAGGAACAGGTTCAACCAAAGAGAAACAAAGGTTCAACCAAGGCTATGGTTGCTGCTTGGGGAGAAACTTCAGATGAAGACTCAGAAGATGAAGCTGAGGAGGAGCAAGCACTGATGGCCATCGGAGAATCAAATGATGAACAAGAGGTAAGTATTCTTCATCTCAAAGACAAGATTAAGTTCTTGTCTAAAGAAAGGCTGGCTGAGCTATTAACAGACTTCATTGATGAGTCTGAGATAATTAATAATGAGAAGGCAGTTCTGTCTAGGGAATGTGTGATTCTGAAAGCAAAATGCAAAAGTCTAGAATCTAGGGCAAATGAGAGTGATAACAAAAATGCTGAGTTGAAGAACCAGGTTCTTGAACTTGACAACAGTGTCCTAGAACTTAGGTCTGAAAATCTGAAACTGAAATTAGGAACAGGAAAGAAGATAGCTGATCACACATATCTCACTCTAGAAGAAAATTTGGGGAAAATGAAAGATGAATTATACAGGAAAGATGAATTCATTAAAGTTTTGAAAGAAGATCTAGGGAAGGTAAAACATGAACTAGACAGAACTTGCAAGTGGAACAAGGCTTCTGATGCTCTCTCCTGGTTGCAAGAGCATCATAGCAGTAACAAAAGAGGACTTGGCTATGGGACTCAAGCTCCTAAATGGGATCCAAAAAGCAAGTACCTCACTCTTCCTGAAAATAAAATCTGCACACACTGTGGTAAGACTGGCCATTACAAATATGAATGTAATGCAAAAGAAAAGGCCAGTCAAAGAAACAAAGCTTTTGTTCAAGGAAAGTATAAGCTGCCTAGTTGGGCAAGAAAGAATCTGATTCATCCTTTTGCCCATAGAAAGGGACCCAAACTAGTTTGGGTTCCTAAGACTAACCCCTGATTTCCTTTTGCAGGTCCAAGTGAAAGGGAGGAGCCAAATATGGTATATGGATAGTGGCTGCTCACAACATATGACTGGGGACAAGGACCGGTTCCTTTCACTTGAGGACCTAAAGGGAGGTAATGTCTCATTTGGTAATGGAAAGAAAGGTGAGATCATTGGGGTTGGAAAGGTAGGCAAATCAGATTCTCATTCCATAGAGAATGTCTACCTGATAGATGGCTTGAAATATAGCCTAATAAGTGTGTCACAACTGTGTGACAGAGGTAACCTTGTGGCTTTTACCTCCACCAAATGCTTTGTGATTAACCTTACCGCTGACAAGATAGTTTTNGCCTTAGATAAGGTGAAAGTGATCCAGGAGAGACTTCGTACAGCTCGGTCGCGTCAGAAGAGTTATGCGGACCGGAAGGTTCGAGATGTATCTTACATGGTGGGCGAGAAGGTTTTGTTGAAGGTTTCGCCTATGAAGGGCGTTATGAGATTTGGAAAGAAAGGAAAGTTGAGTCCACAGTTCATTGGTCCTTTTGAGATACTTAGGAGAGTTGGGGAGGTGGCCTACATGCTTGCTTTGCCACCCAGCTTGTCGGGAGTCCACCCGGTATTTCATGTTTCTATGCTCCGGAAGTATGTTGGAGACCCGGCCCATGTGTTAGACTTCAGCACGGTTCAGTTAGATGATGACTTGATTTATGATGTGGAGCCAGTGGCTATCTTGGGTCGTCAGGTTCGAAAATTGAGATCAAAGGATATAGCTTCGGTGAAGGTGCAGTGGAGAGGTCGGCCCGCAGAGGAGGCTACTTGGGAGACCGAGCGGGAGATGCGGAGCAGATATCCTCACTTGTTTGAGACTCCAGGTATGTTCCTTGACCCGCTCGAGGACAAGCGTTTGTTTTAGTTGGGGAGGATGTGACGACACGGCCCGTCGTCACGTGAGTTACCGCCCCGTTGTCCCCATAATATGTTCCCCTGCATTTCAGTATTGGTATTTGAGGTGATCGGATGGAATTGGATTGGTTTTAGTTGGAAATGAGGCACTTAGCCTCTTAGAAGGAAGCTTGTTTTGGAAAAGTCAACCGGAAGTTAACTATGTAGTTAGAGGGCTCGGATGTGAATTCCAATGATTCGGTTAACTTCGGGGGATGATTTGTGACGTAGGAGTGTGGTCGGAATTGAATTTGGAGGTCCGGTGTAGAATTAGGCTTGAATTGGCGAATGATGAATTTTGGCGAATTCCGGTTGGTAGGTGAGATTTTGATCCGGGGGTCGGAATGGAATTCCGAGAGTTGCAGTAGCTTCGTTGGGTGATTTTGACTGGGAAGTAATTGGAGGTAAGTCCTATGGTCTAGAAATATCATTTTATTTGAAGAATCTACTTTTAATTCTTGGAAAAATTGGGAAAAATTGGAAGAACTAGGGCTTATATTTTGGAATGAAAAATTGGGTTTTGGAGGGGCATTTGAACTCCGATTTTGATGAATTTAATATGTATGGACTCGTGGCGAGACGAGAAATCCGGTGATATAAATTTTGTAATTTTTCGTGAAGTGGGCCCGGGGCTCGGGTTTTGCCAACTTCGTGATTTTGGTTGTTTTTCGAGTCTTTTCGATTGGGTTACGATTTGTTAGCCTATTGTGACGTATCCTTTGTGGTTTTGGTCAGATCCTACGCGCGAGGAGGTCGATTCGAGAGGGAAAGGCTTGGCGAGCTAGGTTATCGGCCGACTAGAGGTGAGTAATGACTTTAAATNGTTAGGATAGTTCCGCATAAGCAGAATGTTGGACGCTTCAGCGGGTCCGCCTAAGCGGACATTGTACCGCAGAAGCGGTTTTGAGAGGACCGCAGAAGCGAAGTTCGGGTCGCATAAGCGGAGCCTGGGTTTTTAAGTGAAGACCGCATAAGCGGACTTTTTTTGCCGCAGAAGCGGTCCCGCATAAGTCGGAAGCGGGACCGCATAAGCGAAAAGTGTTGTTGGCAGAAAGGTTTAAAGGGTTTATTTCATTCGCGAGCTCTTACCAGTTTTTCCTCCATTGTTGAGCGAGCTTGGGAGCTATTGATGCGATTTTGAGAGGGTTTTGACTGGGAATTAATTGGAGGTAAGTCCTATGGTCTAGAAACATCATTTTATTGAAGAATCTACCTTTAATTCTTAGAAACTTGGGTAAAAATTGGAAGAACTAGGGCTTGGTTTTTGGAATATAAAATGGGAACTTGAAGAGGCATTTGAACTCCGATTTTGATGAATTTGATATGTATGGACTCGTGGCGAGACGAGGAATCCGGTGATGCAAATTTCATAATTTTTCGAGAAGTGGGCCCGGGGCTCGGGTTTTGCCAACTTCGTGATTTTTGATATTTTTCGAGTCTTTTCGATTGGGTTATGACCCATTTGCCTATTGTGATGTATTCCTTGTGGTTTTGATCAAATTCGACACGCGAGGAGGTCAATTAGAGGGAAAAAGGCATAGCGAGCTAGACTTTGACCGGCTAGAGGTGAGTAATGATTTTAAATGACGTTCTGAGGGTTTGAAAACCCCGGATTTGCACAACTTGGTGCTATGTTGAGTTGAGACACGCGTTCCATGATGAGCGCGGGGTCATTTACTATTGGGGACTGTGACTTGGTCCAGTCCGGATGATATTTTACCGCGTATTAGCAATGACTTGTTGTTTTCACCATGATTTGGGCTTATTGCCATATTTGGGGCTTATTGCCGACTGTTTGAACTCTTTATGAACTATCATCACTGTTTTCCTCACTGTTAGAAATATTATTTGAACTCAGTCCATGTGATTTACACTGTTTCTTGAACTCAGCCATATTTACTCAAACTTGGAGTTTTAAACTGATATTTGAACTATTGTTTGAGCTGAGTATTATTGCTTTACTGTTGCCCGAGGGGCTGTTGACTATTTCTGGACTGATTAAGGCCGAGGGCCTTGTGTGAGGGCATGATGAGTGAGGTGAGGAGGCTTTCAGGCCTCGTATTGATACTGTTCAGGCTTTCAGGCCTTGTTGATAGCGCTTGGGCTGTAGGAGCCCCTCCGGAGTCTGCACACCCACAGTGAGCGCGGGTACCCATCTATAGTGATTTAATATTGAACAGTGGTAACAATGACACTGTTAAATGTGATTGGTCAGGTAACAGTGACTAACCAGACAGGTAACTATGATCGACCAGTGGTAACAATGACACTGGAGTACGCGTTGGTCAGGTAACAATGGCTGACTTACTGATTGAGTATAATTGATGTTTAACTGTTTTCAAAAAAGGTTTTTCTTATTATTTTTCACTGGTTTCTATTATTATTCTGAAGTTGCTGCTTGAGATAGCATTATTTGTGCCCTTGTGGGATTTTATGTTCTCAGTCGTTATTTATTTTTATTGCTCACTGGGTCGGAGTACTCACATTACTTCCTGCACCATGTGTGCAGAGACAGGCACTGCTGAGTTCGTACCTGAGCGCTGATTTCCTTCCAGACCAGGCGGACCAGGAGAGACGAGGTAGTTGTCGACGTCCACAACCCCGTTTCTTCCTTATCTTTTGCACATTTTATTCATCTTCAGACTATGTTTTCCAGACTTGTAGTATATTTTTCATCAACTCTGTAGTAGCTCGTGACTTGTGACACCCCGATCGGCTGAGTTTGGGATGGTTGTGTTCCCGTTATGTTACGTTTATTTCCGCACGTGTGATTAATCAGTATTTATGGATTAAACCTGTTTATGCTAAGAAAATGTTAAAAGCAAATGTTGATTGTTTCTGTTGGCTGGCCTTGTCTTCACGAGAGGCGCCATCACGACCGGGTGGGAATTGGGTCGTGACAATCACCAAGTTTTTGTGGTAGCTTATTTTGAAGTATAGCACTGCATTTTTCAGTAAGCATTACCACAGAAACTTCTTCCAATTTTCTTTTACTTGACAAAATTTCTTTTAAAAATTTAGCATATGAAGGCATTTGCAACAAAGCATCAGTAAAAGGAATATTAATATGAATCTGTTTTAAGATTTTCAAAAACTTTGCAAATTGACCATCAAGCTTTTCTCGTTTCATTTTTTGTGGAAAAGGTTGTCACAGGTGGGGCAGCCATTTCTTCAGAAAATTTTTCTTCTTTATTCTTTATTTCTTTCTCCTTTGATGGTTCAGATGGTTTTTCAAAATTCTTACCCTTGTCTACCTGTTGTTCTGTCTGGTTCTTTTCTTGTCTGCCTGCATAAGATTCATCAAGTTCCTTACCTGACCGTAAAGTGATGGCCTTAAGGTGCTCCTTTGGATTTTTCTCTGTATTGCTTGGTAAGGGACCCTGAATCTTTTCTGACACAAGAGCTGCCAATTGGCTTAATTGAATTTCCAGATTTTTGAGGGATGAATTTTGGCTTTCCATCTTTTCATCAGTGACCTTAATATACTTGTACAAAAGTTCATCAAGACTTGGATAAGCTTGTTGGGGCCTTTGCTGGTATGACCCTGCTTGTTGATATGGTCCTACTTGCTGATAAGGTCTGTAACTCGGTTGCCCACGATTTTGACTCTGGTATCCCGGCGAACCTTGTACCTGTTGTTTCTGGAAGCTTTGAGAGTTTTCTGCACCATTTGGGTTATTCCACTGAAATTCTAGATGCTTCTGTGCTATTGGACTCCCAAAAGGATATGACTTGTAACCGATGACATTAACCTGTTCCTCCGTTTGATTGGTTGCTTGACACTCATGGTTCTGGTAGTTTCCTCCGCACATGTCACAAGACTCAGATTGGTTTGATTGTTGTGTATTCACCTGAAAAGATTCAAACTTTTGTGCCAAAGAAACAATCTGCTGCGTTAATGTATTTAAAGCATCAACCTGATTTACCGTAGCAGCCTTTTTAATTATACGCTCAGATGGCCATTGGATAGCATTCTCAGAAATTTCATTCAACGGTTGCAATGCTTCCTCTATGGTTTTTCCCATTACAGAACCTCCTGCAGCTGCATCTATCACATTTCTAGCAGAGGGTTTTAGCCCATGATAAAAAATGTATAATTGCATATGTTCAGGAATGTCATGGTGTGGGCATTTTCTTAACATTGCTTTTAATCTTTCCCAAGCTTGATAAACTGACTCAGTGTCAGTCTGCAAGAAATTAGATATATCTTGTCTTAACTTTGTTGTTTTAGCAGGGGAAAAATATTTATTTAAAAACTTCTGAGTCATCTGGTCCCATGTCGTAATGGACCCTTGAGGCAGACTTCGCAACCAAGTCTTTGCATCTCCTTTTAAAGAAAAAGGAAATAGCCTTAACTTGATAGCTTCAGGAGGTACTCCATTATACTTAGCAGTTTCTACCAGTTCTAGAAAATCAATTAAATGACTATGTGGGTCTTCACTTGTATCACCAGTGAAGATACAGGATTGTTGAATTGTCTGAATCAGGCCGGTCCTGATTTCAAAGTTGTTGGCTGCCACTGGGGGCTTCCTGACACTAGATTCACAGTTGAAGCGATCAGGTCTAGCATAATCCCTAAGGATTCTGTTTGCTGGCCTTGGCGCCACTTCATCAAATTGCTCCTCTACATGGACTGGAGGTGGGATTCCAAGTGGGTTAATGTCCTCTGCTTCCTGGTTTTCCATTTCTTCACAAGTTGCTCCTTGAGAAGATGATGTTTTTTCCTTCCTGCGCAATCGAAGATATCTTTCAATTTCAGGATCGTAATTAGCCAATTCCTTTATAGAAGAGCGGGTCATAAACTACTTAAAATTTTAAAAGTAAAAAAAAATTAACATTACTTTCTAGTATAGTACTAGTAATTAATACTAAACTAAAGTAAATTTCAAATATAAATAGTTAGTGAAGAAAAATAAATACCACAATATTGTAGATAATAATACTAGTAATTAATCTAGTAAAATAAAATAAAAATATAAAACAATAAAACTAACAAGTAAGCATTAGTAGTAATACTAACAGTGAATTGAAATAGTATAGTATTATTAATTATAAACAAAAGTTGTACTAGTGAATGATAGTGATCAATAAGAATAACACTGTAGAAGTACTACTACTAATAATAATAATAAGAATAATAATATTATTACACAAAAATATACAATGATAAGAAAATAATAATATGTAACAACAAGCTATATTGAAAAATAAAAAAGAAGTAAAAAAAAATGATATAACAGGTGATAGTACTAATATTAATTACACTAAATATAATGAAGGAAAACTAATGGTAGCAATAATAGGAAGAAGTACTAATATGATATATTTTTTTTTCTTTTCTTTTTAAAGTGCTATTACAAAAAGAAAACGATAATATTAATATGACAGTAGTAGTTATAGTACTACTTAGTAATTAGTGATAATAGTAACAGATAAATAGCAATAATAAGGTCTCAAATTAGTAACAAAATATTTAATCTGAAGTAGATGTATGCCAATCCCCGGCAACGGCGCCAAAAATTTGACGAGGCCAATGTGTATAGGATTTTCCTGCTCGTGCTTTGTCAAATTCTAGTATAGTTTATGATATCGTCCCACAGAGATTGGAACATCTATGCTACAGACCCTTAATATTTCAACTACTATTTGAGAGAATCAGATTGATGAAAAGTTTGTGGAATTAAAACTTGTTAAATACTTAACAAGATCAAACAACTTCGAAAGATTTGTAATTTAAAAAAAAGAGTTGGGAATCGTTGAATTCACTTGATAATATATTATAATAAAATCTCACTTTATACAAGTATTTCTCTAAAGGATAATTGCTTATTGCTAATACAATTATATCTTATCTCACCAAGAATTAACCAACTAATAACACTCCGTGAGGTTATGTAATTAATTGAGTTAAAACTGGTGACAGTTAAACCGAAATATTTTTCTTGCTTGAATTGTGCTAAGAGGTAGTAAAAACTTCTTGAGAATATTTTTACTAAAAAAGCAATAATCTTGCCTACAACAATTCCTCCGTGAGAATTAAAACTGAGACAAGCAAGATTATCGACTTTTAATAATAGCTTGCTAATAATTGCTCTCACTTCACTATTTTATTCAATAGTTACTATATATTAATTTTGCTCCGTGAGAATTACAAAATTAATATGATAGTAACTTAAAGATAAAATATATAGAAGTGATAACAATGATTAGTTAAAAACTATTATTATAGCACAACATAAAATATAAATAGAAAGTTTCAAGACAAGGATGTATTAAACTGAGATAGTATTATAAATATATATATATCAAGCTTCATCAACTATCCCAACAAAAGAAGTTACTCCATTACGAAGTAAGAAAAACTAATTTAAGAATAAAGAACTTATGAAGAAATATTATTCTTCTAAAATAAAGACAACTAGTAGCAAATATTAAAGACAAAGAGAGACTATAAAGTGATTTCTTCCAACAAGACTCGATATCCCTTCTCTTCAAAATTCACACTCTATTTATAGAGTTTTCTTGCCAAGGTTCTCCATAGTTGCAACTATGAAAATTGTAGTTGCAACTATGACTTTGCCAAATGTGTTTCATTCTACGGAGGAAGAACCATAGTCTCAACCATACTTTGCTAGTTGCAACTTATGTAATTTGCTTCATGAATTCCAATTGCCATTGTCGCAACTATGGTGCTATTTTTGCTTCTTCATTCCCAGTTGACTACTCAATTCTTATTCTTTTTTGCTTCTTTTCTTCGATTTTCATATGCTCTTTTTCCTGCGAAGTATGTTAGAAAATATGGGAGAATATGATATATTTATTCATGTTTTATTTAAAATCTTTAATATTTAACATATTAAAATATATGAATAAATTATATCCATCAAATTCCCCCATACTTGAATCTTTGCTCGTCCTCGAGGAAAAAAAGAATATTGTTAAACTTACAGCTTTTGGTGTCTTGTCCCGTAGCAACTCATTTAAAGAGCATAAAAATGTCTAAGAAGGTGCTATTGATCCTATTAAGAATATTTCACTACAGCTGACTCATTTTGCTTTATAGAATAGAACCTTGATATATGATGAGGACAATAAATTGTTTTATCTCCTTGCCATGGTATCAATATTTAGTAGCAGAAACTCTATAGAGGTCCAAGAGAAATTTACTGCTCACTCAATGCGTCAAGGACCTTAGAATTTAATGAGGTTGGTATATTTTGGTCATTACATTAGTTGACAAACTTAGTTGTCAAATGTCAGTTGGCTTATTGTTCTTGGATTGATGTGAATTGTGATACTAAGACTTGCATATTCTGTTGCTGACTGTGTCTTCTGATTAAATTACAATATAGGCAAAGAACTATGTTATCATCGAAATCCCATGTATTAGAATTGCCGAATTGCGAAATATCCATTTCTTTAGCAGAGACTGATTATATTGGCTGGCTTATGCAAACGAATTTGTTAAATATCATGTAGGTTGAGAATCCAATGATAGGAGGCCGTCATCGGTATTGTCATTATATAGTTAAGTTGAAGTTCTCATGCCCCTTAGTGAATTAATGGCAAGTATGAGGGCACGGGAGGCAATTGCTGAATGCCTTAGTGAATTACAGTCTGAATCCCATGAAAATCAGCAGAAAGCTCTGCTAACCTTAGCTTCAATCACAAAGGTTAGTCCTCAAAATAGGAACTTGTTAGCTCAAGCAGATGGTTCTATTTCTACCTTGCTCAGCCTGTCCATGCCTCCCTCCTCTTCAACTATTCAACTTCTCGCGCTTTCCATTCTCTTCAACCTCTCACTCAATCCTAATCTGAAGCAGTCTCTAGCAGACATGGATAAGATCCTGTTTCTCAACTCTGTGATCCTATCTTCAACTTCAGCTGAACCAAGCAGGATAGCAGCTTCACTACTCTGCAGTTTGGCAATGCTAGATAAGAACAAGGCAAAGTTTGGAGTGGCTGGAACCGTTGAGGCTCTCGTAAAGGCAATCTCGAGACCAAGAGGCCCTGCTTCTCATCACTTTCTGAGCACATTGGCTGAACTGGTGCAGTTTCATGGGAATTGCACGGTGGCTGTCCAAGCGGGGGCAGTTCCGGTTCTGATCAAATTAGTTGAAAGTTCTGATTGTGAGGATCTTGCTGGAACATCACTGGCAATACTCTGCTTGCTTGCAAGATTTGAAGAGGGACTAACTGCTTTGAAAGGGACTGAAAAAATTGTGCTATCAATGTTGGAAATTTTGAAGGGAAGGTGCATGTTGAGTAAAGAGGGAGCTGCTGATATTCTACTCCGTTTGTTTGATGAAAGTGAGAGATGCATAAGAGATGCTCTGAGGTTACCTGAGTTTTCATCTGTGATAGCTGATCTTTCTGTTAGAGGATCAGTCAGAGCTCGAGAGAAGGCTAGTTTACTCATGAAGAAACTAATGGAAGCTAACGTGGATGTTGTTTATGGCGATGTTGGCGACAAAACCGCGGCTTATTTGCAATGGTAGGAGTAGCTGCAAGGCAGAGGCAGATACAAGAAATGAATTTGATGGTAGTTGTTGAAATTTTAGTGATTTTCGCATAAAATTTATGTTCCGTCATAAAATACTTAGTTCAGTTGAACCCGTTTGGACTATATTGCATCAGCCCCTGCATGTTGGATGTTGTGTAAGTTTACTTCATATGTTCTTGTACACTTCGTCCATCAATCAAGCAATTCATGGAGATTCTTTACAATTCTTAGAGTTACAAAGAAGACATCAAAGCTCAACTTTTATAGCAAGGTATTTCAATTGCTCATCAGGATTTCACTGAGGAGATTGCTTGTAGAATAACAGTTTGATATGATGTCCAATGGTTTGCGAATTTTCTAAAATCAGATATTGTTGGGAATACTTTAATTAAAACTGTTATAAATAGAATTCTATTTATGGTGAATGTCCATATTTAGAGAGATTCTAGGGTTTATTACTTGGTGGCTAAGTCAACCTCTCCCTATAAATAGAGGGTTCTATTCCATTGTAATTCATCCCAAAAAATTCAATAAGAATTCCTTCTCTCTCTTTCTCTGCAATATTGTTCTTCTACTTTTATTATTTTATAACAAAAACAGAATATTTTTAGTATTTCGATATTTTCTAAGTGGATCACTATGATTACATCCTGAGTTAAGTTGTTTCAAACTTTGGTACCCTATATAGTTGAATTTTGACACAACTGGAACGAGGTAAGAACGGGCTCATTTATTTGTTAAACACCAGAGGGTTTGTAAATGGGGCAAAATATAAAATTGGCCGGTCGGTCCAAATTAATTGTATTTTTAGCAAAAAAATTATATATATATATATATATATATATATATATATATATATATATATATATATATATTTATTCAAAAAGAAAATTATTGACTATTATTTTTTGAAGCGACTAAGAATATACATTTCTCTTGTAAACATGGGCTAACTTCTAGTTTTTCATGCTTTACGGAGTATTTAACCTATTTTCTAAGCAAAAAATTTGCGTGGTGTGGCCCTAGGCTTGCATGGTCTTTAAAAAATGTCCCCGATTTTGACTTTGGTGTCAAAATAGTCCATGCATGTGTATTAGGCGACCAAATGACATATACGTCCTCTAGATATAAGCTTATATCTTTTTATTTAACTAAGTTGAGTATGTGAGAACTGAATTTATGCAATATGGTAAAATTCACAACTAATTTAAATATATTGGTAGAATACATTTACTTCAAAGTCTATCGTGTTATCTAGTAGAATACTCTACCAAATGAAGTATAGTGATATGATTAATATAGTTAAAAGTTCTACCTTTTTATTACTGTTGTACACAAGTAAAAAAAAAAATGACAACCAGGTAGAGTAAATGTAATAAGTTAAAAAGGTACCATTAGTGAAAATTGAAAATCATGACAATTTGGTAGAGTTTATAAGACAAGTAAATAGAATAAGTTTAATGAGGTGCCATTGGTGAAAACTAGAAATCATAACAATCTAATAGAGTTTGTAAGACAATCTGGTAGAGCAAATGACAAAAGTTTAATAAGGTATCAATGGCGAAACATGTCAATCCAGTAGAATTTACTATAAGTTATTGTCCAACTAGATATCTAGGTTGAATAAAGCAAGAAATCCTACCAATTTATCAATAACTTGCATGCTACCTTATAATATGTACTTTGTCTTCTTCTTTGTTCATAATTTTGGAATTTTGAAAATCTAGTACAGTTTGTGTTTTATGCAACATAAAGTCCTACCAATTTGTGATAACTTGCCTTTCACCCTACTGACATGTATTTTTCATCTTCTTTGTTAATAGCTTTGAAATTGTGACAACCTGATAGAGTTTGAATTTATGCAACATGATAGCTAAGTTGAATACAACATGATCATAACTTGTGCGTTGATATCCATTTTTTCCCTCATATTTTTAAATTGTATATATATACTTTCAAAATAGTATATTTGCATCATCATTTAGTTTATAAACCTATACATGCATTTTGTATAATTTTTCATAATTTTTAGAGCTTTAAATTGATTTTTTTTGCATTTTAATTACTTGAATAATTATTAATTATTCCTTCAAATTACTTTGTGATTAATTAATCATTCAAATTACTATTGTGCATCCTCATATATGTTTCATAATACTTTTTACTTTATTTCGTATAATTATTTTTGCATTTTTAAGCTATTTACCTAATTTTACAATAATAGCCTATATTCATATATAATTGCTTTTTATCTATACTATTTGTGTCAAAATAGCCTTCTATATTTTTATAATGCTAAATTATTATTGTTAATCATTTTATTGCATAAATAACATTTTTTATATTTATTAAAGTATTTTTATAAATTATTTTTGTTAAATTTTGTGTATTTAAATAATAGCCCATTTTTTAAAATTAAATTCGGACCTAAAAATGCCCAACACTTAATACCCTAGCCCAAATAATTCCTAGCCCAAATCAATTAGCCCAATCCCACAACCCGGTCGGTACCCGTTTTATTTTTAACCCGCCCCGTCAATTTTTAAATCCTAGCCGTTGATCTTTCAAGATCAACGGCCCACATCCCTTCTCCCCTTTGTAGTTAACCAAACCCCCCCAAACCCTAACCATTTCATCCAACCCGCCGCCCTCATATGCTCTCATCCCTCTTCTTCTTCAACTAAACCCTAGCCGTCTTGCACTCAAATCCTTCTCCTAATCCCACCAGACATGGGATTTGACTGATATTGCTTGTCGTATACAGCTTCCTCTTGGTACTGGTTACTCTCTTATGGTGCTTGCCTAAACATGGCAAGCAAATCTCATCAAAATCGAACCTGAATCGGCTCAAATCCCTGACCTTTCTGCTATTCCGTCTATATTCATCCTTTGTTCTATTATGGGTAGGAATCTCTGTGTATTTTTGTTGATTCTTACTTACCCTAAAACTAGGGTTTTCATATCTCTTTAGATCGAACCAAAATTGGTTCTATTCTTTGATTTTGGGTGACATTTTGTCGATATTCGTCCTATTCTGTGTGGTGTTTGATTTTTTTATTTTAGATTCTGCCGATTTTTTCACTTTCCCTAAAATTAGGGTCTGAAATTTTTCTCTTTTCCTTACTGGTTTTCGATTGCATGTGACATCCTTTTCCTTTCTCGTGTCTGATTGAAGATTTTCCTTGTTTGGGTGTTTAATTTCTACTACTATATAAATCCCTCCCTATTCCCCTTTTTGAACAGACTTTAATCGATATAATCTCACACTACAACAAAAGTGCTAATTACATGGGAATTTTACCTGGAGATTTTATTTGCAAATAATACATGCGGATTTTCATGGGAAACATTAGGATTCCTAAATTTAAAATATTTTACCTGCGATGAATATTTTCCTAGAAAAATCCATAGGTAACTTTGGCGCCATTATGCGCCAAAATATTACCTGGGAAATTACCCGCGGAAATGAATCGGCAAGTAGATTTCCGTAGGAAAATCGGCAGGTAAGAAAATAAAGAAAATGAAAAAAAATCCTATGTTAATCCGAAGGAAAATCCCTAGGTAACTCTACATGCGAATTTAGTTGGGGATATTTTCTTGAGGAATTACCTGGGGATTTGCTTATTTAGGATATGTATGATGGAGCTATGACTCGGGTTAGGACAGTGGGAGGTGACTCACAGCCTTTTCCGGTGGCTATGGGATTACACCAAGGTTCTGCGCTCAGCCCGTTCTTATTTGCTCTGGCGATGGACGCACTGACACACCATATCCAAGGAGAGGTGCCATGGTGTATGTTGTTCGCTGATGATATAGTTCTTATTGATGAGACGCGAGGCGGCGTTAATAGGAGACTGGAGGAATGGAGGCAGACTCTAGAGTCTAAAGGTTTCAAGTTGAGTAGGACTAAGACAAAATATATGAAATGTAAGTTCAGCAACGTGACGGGGGAAGCGGATGTGAAAGTTAGGCTTGAATCACAGGTCATCCTCAAGAGAGAAAGTTTTAAGTACTTAGGGTCAATTATCCAGGGAGATGGGGAGATCGATGGGGATGTTACGCACCGTATAGGAGTGGGGTGGATGAAATGGAGGGTAGCGTCTGGAGTCCTGTGTGACAAGAATGTGCCACCGAAACTCAAAGGTAAGTTCTATAAAACGGTGGTTAGACCGGCCATGTTTTATGGAGCTGAGTGTTGGCCAGTCAAGAATTCACACATCCAGAAGTTGAAAGTAGCAGAAATGAGGATGTTGAGATGGATGTTGTAAGCACGTGATATTTGCCCTATATGAATTGCTCCCATAATTTCAAAACAAAAATATTTTCTTTTTATTATTTTCAATTTTGTGGTTTTTCGTGGCATTTTCTGTTAATTGTTTGCATTTGTTTTCGCATTTTTAATTCATATAAAAATACAAATATGTGCATTGCATTTTAGGGTTTAATTTTGCATACTTTTTGGAATTGATTGGTAATTAGGAGTTTAAAAAATACAAAATCACAAAAATAGTGTACTTTTGTTTTAATTTAGTTTTTGGAATTTTGATAGTTTTCCCTTTAAATTTGGTTTCTTAATTATTTGTGGTAATTTGTTAGTTATGGTTAATTAATTCAATGTGATAGGATAATTTGATTTAGGAATTAATTTAGGTTTGCTTTTTAGTTTTAAAGAAATTAACAAAAAAGAAAGAAAAAGAAAAGGAAAAGGAAATAAATAAAGGAAGAGGAAATTGGGCCAGCTTTAGTAGTTAAATCTCTAGCCCAAACGGACCACCAGCCCAAGCCATGCCCCAACTCGGTCCAATCCTCCAGTCCCTAGACCACTCAAACGACGTAGTACCAGGCCAATACTACGTCGTTTTGAGTTCCTTAAAACCAAATCAATCTCAGCCCTTTAATCCAATACATCGAACGACCAGGAACCCTTCCCCCTTTTAACTTAAAAATGTCCAAATAACCTAAGACCCCCGTACTTTGACCCCCCATCACCCCCAC